AGCATAGACACGGAGACAACTAGAAGGATCTTCCTTGGAAGAGCTCAGGCAGATGATATTTCTGAGATGGAAAAAGTAGTGTATAAATTTGCTCACATTTGATGAAAAGGACAAATAGAGGTTTATTTGCAGACCCTAGGTTTTGTTGTGAGAATAGGAGAAGGTAAGGGTAGAAGTTAACGCTAGCTTCTTAAAATAGACAAGGAGGTGTTATAGACAAAGTGGTGAGGACTAGGAAAGTGACCCTGCCTCAAGGAAGTTGCTATTTGTCAAATGCTTGAAGAAATTTAGGTGTTAGCAAATGAATAGGTTGCTGACACAAATGAGATGCATTTATTTATTTCAGGTGATGTATAAATAGGTGTTTTATATTATTCTCTGTACTTTACTATTTCAAATGTTTTATAGTTTAAAAATACAGTGCAAAGAGAAGTTGGAAAAAAAACAAATAAAATCCCAATAAATGCAATGGAATTCTGTGCAGCTGTTAAAAAACAAAACAAACAAACAAAAAAAAAAAATTGAGGAAGATCTCCCAGAAACTTTGTAGAGTTAAAAAAAAAAAACCAACAAGTCTCAGAACCATATATTTTATCCAATCTTACCTGTATGAAATACTTCTAAAATAAGTGTGTATATTTTCTGTGTGTGATATTCATAGAGAAATATCTAGAAGAGAAGACAAATCATTAAAAGTTAGTGGGATTATATGTACATTAGACACTTTCATATGGTATGGATTTTCAGTACAAGCATGTATTACTTTTATTAATTAAATGGTAAATGTTTTGTCAAATATTATTATATTTTTGAAAAATTAAAAGAAAGAATGCAATAATGACTTTTATAAGCAATTCAAGGATCCATGGAGCAGAAATGTTAGTGTACAAGCTCCTGTAGGTCAGTGGACTGCCCAATGGGCCAGCAGTGATAGTTGTTTTCACCCACCCTGTCCTTACCCAGCCTTTTCTCTGATTTGACCCTTGGATGTCAGAGTGAGGATCAATGACAGATGCCAGTGGTAGGAGTGATGACAGGCTCCACACCTCATTTGTTCCATTACTTCCAGCTCCTCTCTGGCTTTCCAGTCACCACCGTGAATGGTTGTTTCTCTTATCTGCACAAAACAAGAGTCAAAAGTTCTTGTTCGGGTGATTGCAGAATACCAGGCTGGAAAACTTCCTGATAATACCTAAATTCCTCTAGAAGAGTGCTGCCTGGATTCATATCAGAATAGCTATGTGGTTTCAGCACATTTTGTACCATGCAGTTGGATAATAAACCAGATGAGATTTGGCAATAAAAATTTAAGGGACATATAAGGATGGATAATCCTGCTCCCCAAGCCAATTTCTCCATTCCCCTAGAAAGACCAGCAGACTGCTAAGGAGGAGTGTGAGCCATGTGTGAACCATTGAGGATGTCCAAAACAGACACAAACCTATGAAAAATATTAATAATTAAAAGTCTAAATAAAAAATAAGCATCATATTGAAGTTTCTGGCACATATTTGTGGCTTTTGTAAACCATTATACATTAGTTGAATGGGGCTTTGGGACACTCTGGGGACATGACTAATTCTGGCACTTAGATATTTTAATTCAGCAGCTGTCTAACCTTAACCTTATTAACAGAGTTTGCTAAACATTTTGTGCTTTGTGTCCTGCTTTATATTTGCAGATGATGTGAATGACATGCTGTCATCTCAATTGTGTCTCTCCTCATAAAACCAAGGGAGATGGTGGCATTCACTTATCATATTTCCCTTTGGCTTCAGCCTGTATTGAGCAGCCCCTATTCTTCCCTTTGCCTCCTCTGATTTAGTTTTAAAACATACAGGTTCAACATCAATAAACTTTGGTCTCTATAATTTTCCTGTTCTTATTTGTTTCTATAAATGAGGTCATCAGTAGGAATTGACTCAACAGCACACAACAACATACAAAGTTTGTACTTTCGTGATTGATTTATTTTACTTAGCATAATGTCCTCAAATTCCATCCATGTTGCAGCATGTATCAGGATTCTATTTCTCTTTCTGGCAGAGTACTATCCCAAATACTGTATGACCTCACGTATATAAAAAGATTTAAAAAAAAAAAAAAAGACCCACTGCCATCAAGTCAATTCCAATTCATAGAGACCCTATAGGACAGAGTAGAATGCTCTAGGGTTTCCAAGGCTATAAATCTTTACAAAAGCAGACTGTTTCACTTTTTTTCCAGGGAGCGGTTGGTAGGTTCAAACCACTAACCTTTTGGTTAGCAGCTAAATGCTTTATCCACTACACCTCCAGAGCTTCTATATAAAAAGATAAGAACAGGCAAATATATAGAGACCACAATTTATTAGTGGTTACCAGGGGCGGGAGAGAGAGGAAAGGGGAGTTGTTGCTAACAGAGCACTGAGTTTCTGTTCATGGTGATGAAAAAATCTCATTGATTAAGGGTAATGGACACAGTTGATTGGTGTAATTGATGTTATTAAATTGTATACCTGTAATAAGTTAAACTGATAAATGCAGTGTGATATAGATAATCTTTTTTTTTTTTTTTTTTTTAACAACAGCAATGCCAGTTGTTGAGGCTGCTTGTATGTAAAACACTTGATGATTTGGGGGTCTGGGTCATGGTCTCACGGGACATTTTAATGGGCTTAATAATATATTTGTTGTTGTTGTTGTTGTTGTGTGCCGTCAAGTCGGCCCCGACTCATAGCGACCCCTCCTTGGGTTTCCGAGGCAGTATCACTACGGAAGTAGGATTGCCCAACCTTCCTTCCGAGGAGTGGCTGGTGGGTTTGAACCGCCAGCCGTCTGGTTAGCAGGCAAGTGTCTTAGCCACTATGCTACCAGAGCTCCCAATAATATATTTAGTGCTTTTCTTATACTTCCTAGTTAATTATATAGTATTTGGGGTCTTAAAGTTTGTAAATGCCCATCCAAAGTACAACAATTTGTCTCTATTCACCTGTAGCAAATAGACGAAAAAGCAAGAGTCAGGAATAGAAGAAGTGTGGCTAATTGCCTCCATGAGCAACTGTTCCCTTTGCCATGGCACCAGAGCTAGATGGTGCTTGGTTGCCATTACTGAACATTTTGATCAAAGATTCTAAAGAAGAATCCTGATCAAAGTGGGGGGAAATGCAGAACAGAACAGAATCTCAATTCTCATAGAATCCATTCTCATAGAATGGTTTTGGAACCATTGAGGCTGGATGAACCTCTGAAACTACTGCCCTGAGAACATCTTTAACCTGAAACCATAAACCAAAAATAACCCCTGAAGCAGTCTTTAAATTAAACAAGAGAGTAGCTTAACTTGTAAAAAATGTGTGTGGTATTGTACTCTTTTAAAAACTTTACTGTAGAGTATGGAACTGTTAATAGCAACTTGAAATGTTAGATAGGAGGCTTAGAGAGAAGTGGGTCTACATAAACATTGGAGGAACAAATTGGAAAAGGAAGATGAGAATGGCTGCAAAATCTGAAGAATGTAATCAATGTCATTGTATTGTTCATGCAGAAATTGTTGAATTGGCATATGGTTTTAGTTAATTATTTATTTATATTGTGATTTGGGTGAAAGTTTACAGAGTATATTTATTTTCCATACAGCAGTTCACACACATTTTGTTTCATGATATTGACTGTAATCCTCAGAATGTAGCAGCTGTCTTCCCATTTCCTCCCTTTAGTTACCTCTTCCCTGTGTCCTTCATTTCTATGCATTCCTACCCCCTTGAGCTAGATAGATCCCTGTGCAAACACTGCCTTTCTGAACTCCCATGATTGATTGTTCTAAGGAGTGTATCTACCCAGTGTAAATATTCATCCTATAGGCCTATTGTTTGGCTGGAGCCATACGAATGAGTTCAATTCCAGGCCTGAAGAGTAACTAGGGGCTATAGTCTCAGGGGGTTCACCAGGCTCTATCAGACAAGTAAGCCTTGTCATTTTGATGATTTTGAGTTTCATTTCACATTTTCCTCCCATTTCATCCAGAATCTCCTGCACTGATCTTTTTCTGAGTGGTTGACAGTGGTAGCCAGGCAGCATCTAGTTCTTCTGGTCTAATGGTCACATGGGCTGAGATTTGTATGGTCCACTAGTCTCTTGGACTAATTGTTGAATTTTCTATGTTTTACTGCCTCGGAAACCCAAGGAGGGGTCGCTGTGAGTTGGGGCCGACTCGATGGCAAAACAACAACAACAACACAATGTTTTACTGTGTATATTTTCAACAACAATAACAACAAAAATTAGGTTCACATAGACCACCACCACCAGTTGCCATTGAGTGGACCTCAACTCATGGGGACCCTATGTGTTAGAGTAAAACTGGGATCCATGGAGTGTTCAATGGCTGATTTTTCTGAAGTAGATTGACAGTTCTTTCTTTTGAGGCACCTCTCAGTGGACTTGAATCCCCAAACTTTTGTTTAGCAACTGAATACATTAACACTTGCAACACTCAGGGACTCCCAAGTTCACAAAGAAAAGCTGAAAAAAATCGATAAACCTGAGAATAAAGTTTAACAAACAATGATAGACTTTTGATATTTCACTCATTCTTTTCCACCAAAACAGAGCACTTTTATAACAATCCCAAACTCCCATTTGGAATAAATATCCAAACACCAAACCTCTGCCACTGAGTTGATTCTGACTCATAGTAATCCCCACTGGGATTCCAAGGCTATAATCTTTATGGAAGTGGATTGCTGCATCTTCCTCCTGCAGAGCAGCTAATAAGTTTGAACCACTGACCTCCCAGTTAGCAGCCAAATGCCTTAACCACTATACCACCAAAGTTCCTTTGGAATAAATATATGAAAAACTAAATAATTTTAAATATACCTGAACTCTTACTTTGAACTTGAAACAAATCCAAGGAGATACATGCGTGCTTCTAATAAACCGTAACTCACTGAAACATTTCCAAAAGTCTTTTGATGTTCCCTAAGCCACTGACCCAGTTCTTGGGTTTCACTCACTCAGGTAACCAGGTGAGCTTCTCCAAATCAGCAGATACATTCACCTTTGAAGAGGACAGCAGCAGCGATGGGCTCTCTCCAGATCAGACTCGAAGTGAAGACCCCCAAGTCTCCATGGGATCGCCAGCAGACACTAAACCTGTGGAGATCCCTCTGGCAGGCCCCCTGGGGACAATCCAGGTAAGCAAACATTCCTTGGCCTGTAATTTCATTACAGTCTTAAAAATAAACACTGACATAAATGATTTTTTTAGAGACTTCAGAGATGTCTCTTGACCATGTGTCATCTTGATGCCTCTTCTCATTCTATTCAGTTCCAGAACCAAAAACTAAACAGTTGCGTTTAGTCAACTCTGACTCATGGCAACCACATGTGTGTCAGAGTAGAGCTGCATGCCATACATTTTCACAGCTGTAACCTTTCAGAAGCAAATTGCCAGGCTTTTCTTTCAAGACACCTCTGTTTAGGTTTGAACCACCAAGCTTTTGATTAGTAGTCCAGCACTTATCTATTTGTACCACCCTGTGCAGGATTGGGTATATAGTGGCAAAAGTCTCCAGAAAACATTGAATGGAAATCCCCAGAACTATACTCTGACTTACTTATTGAACATGTATTCTACCAACTAAACCAAACCAAACTCACTGCCATTGAGTCAGATCCTACTCATAGTGATTCCTCTTTGGGTTTCTGAGGTGGTATCACTATGGAAGTAGATTGCCCAACCTTCCTTCTGAGGAGCAGCTGGTGGGTTTGAACCGCCAGCCTTCTGGTTAGCAGTCGAATGCCTTAGGCACTAAGACGCCAGTACTCGCCAGTACATATCTACAGTAGATAAGTTTTGTCTCCATTTTTACAGGCAAGGTAACTGAGGGTTGGTGAGATTAGATGACTTTGTCCACAATATCCCAGCTAGAAAGTTCTGGAGCAGGACTGGCTTTAAAGTGAGTGAGGAGTCACTCTATAGTCCTTGAGGAGTAAGGAGGAAGAAATGCAGTTGGCTACAGAGCAGATCTACAGTTAGCAAGTTTCTAAAGTTTCTAGCTACCAGGCCACTACCAAGTCCATTTCCAGCCCCATTCCAAACATAGCACTCAACTCTTTCTCAACAAATCCAGAAACCCTCAAGAAGTGAGGAACAGATGTTGAACACAGTAATGATAAAGAATGACAACAATAACAGCTACAGCATGCCCACTCTGTGCCAGAAATGGTGCTAGGTGCTTCAAAAACACTTCCTCAGTTGATGTCACAATCCCCTCTGGGTAGGTATTATTGATGCTGATTCTGGCAGAAGAAGAATAAAGGCTCTATGAGGTCTAATTATGTGTGGCCTCTAGGAGTAACACAGAGACCCCACAAACCCCCAGAGACCCCACTTTTGGAAGCTTGATAAGAGCTTTTACTCTGTCCTGTCAGCTGTCATTGAGTCAGTCCCCAATTCATGATGACCTCATCCATGCACAACAGAATAAAGCACTGCCCAGTTCTGTACTCTCCCTATAATCGATTGCAGATAGGACCATCATGACCCATACAGTTTCCATTGACTGATTTTCAGAAATAGATCACCAGAATTTTCTTCCTAATCTGTCTTAGTCTGGGCACTTGCTGAAACTTGTTCAGCATCATAGCAATATCTACTGACAGACGTGTGGTGATTGCACTGACCAGAATGGAACCCAGGTCTCCCACATGGAAGGTGAGAATACTACTACTGAACCACCACTGCCCCCATTTTTCCTCAGCCTCACATGACAGTATTCAAGGGGCCCTTAAGAGGAGATGGGGCTGAGCATTCACACACAAGAGTGAAACACAGGCAGGGAGAGGTGAGCACTTTAAGTCCTATCTCTGTTACTTAGTAGTTCTGAGCAAACCCTTCTGACCTCAGTCCCCTTCCCTGTAGTAGGAAGAGTTTACTCCTGCCACACAGGATTGGTCAATAGATTACAATTAGATGGTATATTCAAAAACATTTTGCAAGCTGTAAAACACCATACAAATATATGGAGCAATTATACTAATTATTATCCAGGGCCCTCTTTCCCTAATCCATGGTAGTTACTGGTGGTCATCATGTAGTTTTTCATGCCTTTGAAGCAAAGGCTCCCAAGGTGGCCAAGGGAAAAAAAAAAAAATGTAGAATGGGAGGGAAAGGGAAGGCATTAAAAGCAGAACAAATATTCATATGTTTATTGTGCAAGAGTTTATAATCAAAGCATTTTTCCTTCCCCTGCATGCCACAGCTGGTCTTTGCAGTGAAACTGCTTTGATAACATCAAACAGTATATCAGACCATTTGTCTGTATTATTCTGACAGTAAATTCCTCAGTTTCTGATTTAAGAACACTTTGAGAAGAAAAGTTCTTTTCTGCTTAACCCTAAGAGGGGAAGGAGAAGAAAGGAACATTCACCAATGCCAGGCCACATGCAAACTCATTTTGTTTCATTTCACCCAGCAACCGCACTTGACAGATGAGGAAGCTGAGGCTTGGAGAGCAAAGCGTCCTACAGATCTTTGATGCTGGGAGGGCTCAGGGAAGGGGTCTCACTCCCTTGTTCCATTTGTAGGAGGTCATGAGTAGCCCCTGGCCTGCCCCTTTGGATCAGAGTCACAGCATGAGAATGTGGGAGTAGAAGAGAAGAAAATAACTCATCTGGAGTCGTATATAGGCAGAAACATGCATTTCATAAAGGCTTTATATTGTTCTAAGACATGGATGCCTAGGTGGTGTGAATAGTTAAGCAATGGGCTACTAAACAAGAGATTGGCAATTCAAACCCACTCAAAGGTGCCTCAGAAGAAAGGTCTGATGATCTGCTTCTGAAAGGTCACAGCCTGAAAACCCAGTGGAGCACTTCTACATGTATGAGGTTGCCATGTGTCAGAACTGATTCGACAGCAACTGGTTAGGTTACTGGTTTTAACACACACACACATACTTTCCCTCTATTTGCTACCACTCTTTTCCTCTGCTTTTTTCATCCTCTTACTTTCTCTGAAAGTGTTGTGCCCACTCTTCCTTCATCTCTTTTTCCATCCCATTATCAAGTTCAACAGGTGGAACATCTCCCAGACAGGTCAGATTTTTACTCAGGATGACCAGAAGTCCAGGTTTGCCTAAAACAGGTCAACTTCACACCTGTTGTGTGGAATAATTATTAATATAGCCCCCTTTCTCTTTCCAAAGTGTCCTCATATGTATGATAAATGATATACAGGACTCTTGCTCCACTATAATATGAAGCTATGTTAAAGCTGTGAGTCAGGGGCTCAGCTTTAAAATTTCTGTGCCACACAGACTTCCCCCATCATCCTAATAATGCTGATATTTGGATTTCAGGATCGTGCTTCTGGCTCAGAAAATGACAGGAATGACTCAGCATCACAGCAAGGCAACCAGTCAGATGCCAGGAAGCAGGACCTTGGCCCCCTTGGCACCCCAATGCCCATACACACTGCTGTCAAGGTAGGGGCTAACCTCCACAGCCCTCCCCCATAACATAGCCCTCCCCCAGCCCACAGCCCACAGAGCCCCTCAATGCTGAGCTTTCTACAACATGAGGAAGTCACACAGACCCACAGCTAGGTGCAATCCACTAGGAGCATCCCATGGCAGGAATTCAGATATGAGCCATAAATGTATGTGGACGAAGATTCTCTTATCTGTGCAGCACAGTGTAGGGCTCCACCTGCAGAAAAGTCTGTGTGTTTGCATTTGCTTTGGAGCACAGCACAGCCAGTGTGCTCCTGACTTAAAAAACATCATGAACTGATCTTAGAGAAAGGTACAGCTGATTACAATGCATGCAGGAATTGTTACTGCTATAAAATAGGAAGGAAGACTGGGCAATCTACTTCCATAGAAATACCTCCTCGGAAACTCAAGGAGGGGTCTCTATGAGTCAGAATCAACTCGACAACAGTGAGGTGTATTTATGTGTGTTTGTGTTGTGTGTGTATATATATATATACACACATTCCTTATATATGTATATACACACACATATATATATACATATATACATGTAAACACACACACACACACACATATATATATATGAGGTATTGGGCAGCTGAATTTTGCACAAGAGAAGCAACTTCGAAGACTTTGCATAATATAAGACACAAGTCCATCACCCTATGGAAATAAAGATAAAGGAAGGGAGTCACATTTGTCCTAGACAAATAGCTGTAAGAGTTATAGCATATTTTTGCCTTAATTTTCTACTAAAATTAAATTTGTTATTTAATTTTCTATTAAAACTATTATATCTAATACTTCACATAGTGCTCTCTCCTAAATTAACTGCCTGATAGTCTCTTGGCCGTCTTCATAAAATTTTATCCCAAATAACTTCTAATTGAGGTAGGAACGTGTTTCTCAGCTCTAGCTCCACCTCTTAATAAATGCTGAAATGATGATTATGGAAGATATATATATATATATATATATATATATATATATATACATACATAGAGAGACGCTGTTGTTAGGTGCCCTCAAGTTGGTTTTGAATCATAGTGCCCCTACATAAAACAGAATGAAGCACTCCCAGGTCTTACACCATGCTCACAATTGTTATCATGCTTGAACCCAAAGTCGCAGCCACTGTGTCAATCCATCTTGCCCTTTTTCGCTGACCCTCTACTAGACCCCACATGATATCCTTCTCCAGGGACTGGTCCCCTCTGACAACAACATGACCAAAGTATGAGAGATGAAATCTGACAATTCTTGCTTCTAAGGAGCATTCCGGCTGTACTTCCTCCAAGATAGATTTCTTTGTTCTTCAAGCAGTCCACGGTGCGCTCAATATTTTTTGCCAAGACCACAATTTAAATACATCAATTCTTCCACAGTCTTCTTTACTCATTGTCCAGCTCTCCCATGCATATGAGTCTACTGAAAATACCATGGCATGGGTCAGGTGTACCTTAGTCTTCAAAGTGACATTTTTGTTTTTTAACACTTTAAAGAGGTCTTCTGCAGCAGATTTGCCTGATGCAATATGTTGTTTGATTTCTTGACTGCTGCTTCCATGGGCACTAATTATGGATCCAAGTAAAATAAAATCCTTGACAACTTCAATCTTTTCTCTGTTTATCACTATGTTGCTCATTGGTCCAGTTGGGAGGATTTTTGTTTTCTTTATGTTGAGATGTAATCTACACTAAAGGTCTTTGATCTATACTAAAGTCTTTGATCTTCATCAATGAGTGTTTCTTCAAGTCTTCTTCACTTTCAGTAAGCAACGTTGTGCCATCTACATATTGCAAGCTGTTAATGAATCTTTCTCCAATCCTCATGCTCTGTTCTTCATATAGTCCAATTTTTTGGATTATTTGCTCGGCATATGATTGAATAAGTATGGTGAAAGGATACAATCCGGATGCACACCTTTCTTTATTTTAAACCATTCCATATCTCCTTATTTTGCTCAAATGACTGCCACTTGCTGTAAGTATGGTTTCCTCATGAGTACAATTAAATTCCCATTCTTTGCAATGCTATCCATATTTTGTTATGATCCACATAGTTGAATATCTTTGCATAATCAATAATACTCAGGCAAACATATTTATGTATTTTTTGCTTTCAGCCAAGATCCATCTGACATCAGTAATGATATCCTTTGTTCCATGTCTTCTTCTAAATCCCACTTCAATTTCTGTCAATCCCCAGTCATTATACTGCTGCAACCATTTTTTAATTATTTTCAGCAAAATTTTACTTGCATGTGGTATTAATGATATCATTCAATAATTTCCAAATTCTGTTGGATCATCTTTCTATGGAATGGGCATAAATATGGATCTCTTGCAGTCAGTTGGCTATCTCCCATTATTTTTTGGCATAAACGAGTGAGTGCTTCTAGCCCTGCATCAATTTATTGGAACATCTCAGTGGGTATTCCATCACTTCCTGAAGCCTTGTTTTTTTTACCATTTCCTTCAGTGCACCTTGGACTTCTTCTTACAGTATCATCAAATCTTGATCATATGCTATGCCCTGAAATGGTTGGACACCACCCAGTTCTTTCTGGTACAGTGACTCTGTGTATTCCTTCCTCATCTTTGATGCTTCTTGCATCATTCAATATTTTTCCCATAACAAAAATCAAACCCACTGACTTCAAGTCAATTATTACTCACAGTGACCCTTTAGGACAGGGTAGCACTGCACCATAGGGTTTCCAATGTGGTAAATCTTTATGGAAGGATACTGTCTCATCTTTCTCCCATAAAGGAGCTGGTGGATAAAAACCACCAGCCTTTTTATTAGCAACTGAATGCTTTAGCCACTGTGCACCAGAGCCTTTTTTTTCCCCCTTAGAATGCTTCAGTATTGCCATGAAAGGCATGCATTTTGTCTTCAGTTCTTTCAACCTGAGAAATGCCCACCATATTCTTCCCTTTTGATTTTCTAACTCCAGGTCTTTTTGTATTTCATTATAATATATTACTTTGTCTTCTAAGGCTGCCCATTGAAATCTTCTGTTCAGCTCTCTTACTTCATCAATTCTTCCATTTGCTTTAGCTTCTCAAGAGCAAGTTTCAGAGTCTTTTCTAACACCCATTTTGGTCTTCTTTTCCTTTCTTGTCTTTTTAATGATCTTTCACTTTTTTCATGTATGATATCCTTGATGACATCCCACAACTCATCTGGTCTTTGATGTCCAATGTGTCAAATCTTTCTTCAGATGGTTGCTGAATTCAGGTGGGATATGCTCAAAGTCATATTTGGGTTTTCATGGACTTGTTTTAATTTTCTTCAGTTTCAACTTGAACTTGCATATGAGCAATTGATGGTTTGTTCTACAGTCAGCCTCTGGCCTTGTTCTGACCAATAATATTGAGCTCCTCTATCACCTCTTTCCACAGATGTAATCTACTTGTTTCCTGTGTATTCCATCTGGTGAGGTCCACATGTAGAGTCACCATTTATGTTGTTGATAAAAGGTATTTACAATGACTAAGTAATTGATCTTGAAAAATACTATCATGTGATCCTCAGCATCATTTCTATCACCAAAGCCATATTTTCTAACTACTGATTATTCTTCTTTGTTTCTATCTTTCACATTCCAATCACCTATAATGATCAATATATCTTGATTGTATGTTTGATCAGATTCAGACTGCAGAAGTTGGTAAAACTCTTCAGTTTTTTCATCTTTGGCTTTAGTGGTTGGTGTGTAAATTTGAATAGTGTTATTATTAACTGGCTTTCCTTGTTGGTGTATGGGTATTATATTATTTCTGCCAGCATTGTACTGTAAGGGGGATCTTGAAATGTTCTTTTTGACAATGAATGCAGTGCCATTCCTCTTCAATTTGTCATTCTTGGCATAGTAGACCATATGATTGTCTGATTCAAAAAGACCAAAACCAGTCTATTTCAGCTCCCTAATGTCTAGGATGGGAGCTCTGGTAGCATAGTGGCTAAGACACTTGCCTGCTAACCAGACGGCTGGTGGTTCAAACCCACCAGCCACTCCTCAGAAGGAAGATTGGGCAATCCTACTTCCGTAGTGATACTGCCTCAGAAACCCAAGGAGGGGTCGCTATGAGTCGGGTTTGACTCGACGGCACATAACAACAACAACAACAACGTCTAGGATATTGATTTTTATGCTTTCCTTTTTTCAACTGTCAATTCTCCTAATTCATACACCATATATCCTATGTTCTGATTATTAATGGATGTTTAAAGCTATTTCTTCTCATTTTGGGTTGTGCTACATCAGCAAATGAAGGTCTAGAAAGCTTTACTCAATCCACATCATGAAGACTGACTCTATTTTGAGAAGGCAGCTCTTTCCCAGTTGTATTTTGAATGCTTTCTAACCTAAGGAGCTCATCTTCCAGCATTATATCAGACAATATTTCCCTGGTATTTGTAGGATTTTCAGTGGCCATTTATTTTTCAGAAGTGGACCTGGCCATGTCTTTCTTCCTACTCTGTCTTAGCCTGGAAGCTCCACTGAAACCTGTCCACCATGGGTGACCCTGCTGGTATGTGAAATACCAGTGACATAGCTTCCAGCCTCATAGCAATATGCAAGTCACCACAGTATGGCAAACTGAAAGACAAGTGGTAATTCAAAAGAAAATTAAGCTCTAGAAAGCTTTACTCCATCCATGTCATTAAAGTCAACTCTACCTTGATGTTGTATCTCTTACCCAGTCATATTTTGAATGCCTTCCAACTTAAAGAGCTCATCTTTTGGCACTATGTCAGACATTGTTTCCCTGGTATTCGTAAGATTTTCAGTAGCCTTATTTCAGAAGTGAACTTGGCCATGTACTTCTTCCTAGTCCTTCTTAGTCTGGATGCTCTACTGAAATCTTCCCACTATGGGTGATCCTCCTGGTATCTGAAATACTGGTGGCATAGCTTCCAGCATCATAGCAAGCCACTATAGTTCATCAAACTCACAGATGAGTGGTGGGAGAAAGAGATAG